GTTACACATTGCGCGGAAGCTACTGTGTTGGGCTCACCAAAACCTGCTTTCCATCAGAGCGGTTTACATACCCGGCGTTATGAACAGAGGAGCAGACGTGATGTCCAGGGGCGGCCCACGTCACGCGGACTGGACCCTCCATCCAGACCTGATGTTTCAGACGTGGCAGAAGTTTGGCAAAGCAGCTGTGGACCTGTTTGCGACGCGAGAGAACGCTCAGTGCCAATTATGGTTTTCCCTGAGCCCACGAGACGATCCACCGCTGGGGGTGGATGCATTTGCCCACAGCCCGTGGCCCAAAACGCTTCTGTACGCGTTCCCCCCTCCTCCTCTGATTTTACGGTTCCTGAACCGAGTTCAGGAGGAGGGACTGACAGCTCTCCTGGTAGCTCCCGAGCGCGTGAACGCACCATGGTTCCCAGTCCTGCAGCGTCTGTTGTCAGGTCGCCCGTGGAAACTGCCATGGAGGGAAGATGCTCTCCTTCAAGCAGGAGGAGCGATCAGGAGTTACCCGGAAATAGGCCAGCACCTGTGGGTCTGGCCGCTGAGCGGTCCCGCTTAGAGAAGATGGGTCTCCCTCAGGAGGTAGTGCGCACAATTCAAGATTCACGCGCTGCATCTACCACAGCCCTGTACACATCAAAGTGGACGGCTTTTCAGCGCTGGTGTACAGAGAAAGGTCTGGAGGCCACCTCATGTCCATTAGGTGGCGTGCTGTCCTTTCTTCAACAGCTGATGGATAGGAAGTTGGCATTCAGCACGATTAAAACGTACGCTGCAGCCATCTCTTCCTGCCACGAAGGGTTCGGAGACAGAACAGCTTTTGATCACCCGCTGATGAAGCGGTTTCTAAAAGGTGTACAAAGACATAGGCCGGTTTCACGCCCACTCGTTCCACAGTGGGATTTAACGTTGGTCCTGCGAGCCCTGATCAAGGCTCCTTTTGAGCCTCTGGATCAAGTTTCACTTAAATTCTTGTCTCTTAAAACAGCCCTGCTGCTGGCTTTAACATCCGCTAAGAGGGTGAGTGATTTATCGGCCCTCTCTGCCGCTCCGTCATGTCTCAGAATCCAGGCTGACGGTAGTTCAGCTGATTTAAGACCAAACCCAGCCTTTATGCCTAAAAGCATCACGAGCTCTTTTAAATCGAGACAGATATCGTTGGAGGGATTCTTCCCTCCCCCCCACAGATCAGAAGAAGAAGCATCTTTTCATCTTCTCTGTCCGGTGCGGGCGTTATCGTGTTACATAGCGCGCACAGCTGCAATGCGTCAAACTCAACATCTGTTTGTGCATTATAGAGATGCATCCGCAGGCCGCCCGTTATCCACCCAGCGCTTGTCACACTGGCTGTGTGAGGCCATTTCTGAAGCCTACAGAGCATCAGATCTAGAGCCTCCTGTCAATCTCAAAGCACACTCAACCAGGGGTATCGCATCTTCGACTGCTCTGCATAATGGTATGTCAATGCAGGACATTTGCACTGCGGCTGCATGGTCAACACCCTGCTCATTTATTCGCTTTTACCTACGTGATGTAACGGCTCGTTCCATGACACATTCTGTCCTTAGTGCTCTAACAGAATGAATATTGTTGTTCTCATGGAACTCTGTTTAAGCTCACTTCTGTCTGCATGCATTACAGTGTGAGATGTTGTTATCAGTCACAAGTCGTGTCTGTGATTTTGGTTTTATTGTCACTAATCAGTTCATGACTATTGTTACCAATCAGTTCATTTGATCAATAATCAATTCATGGACATTAATCTGTTTATACTGTTCCGCCATGAACCAGTTGGTTCATGCCCCCCCCCCCCCTCTTTTCAACTTCTTCTTCCCGTTGAAAGTTTTCCGGGGCATTCATGCTTTGTCAGAACGCATAGTTACTCAACATGCGTCTGTGCATGGCACATAACTACGCAATGCGTAGTTATGCACACGGGGAGCTGAGTGACAAGACGTTTTTTGGGCAAGCTTCCGCTTCTTACTGTGTTCGAATGGACCCAGTGAGGCGAGGACCACATCGGCTTCGCCCTTTACCCACTAAAGCGAAGGCCTTAAAGGGCGAAGCTTATACGACATAGAACGTTGGTTACGTACTGTAACCCCAGATTCTATGAGTATAAGCGTAGCCCTTTAAGCGTCGGGCCTCACTGGCTCCTAAATGGCTGAAGAAAAAAGCTATTTTGGGAGCCGATTTCCCGCTCTTAACGTAATTTATACGGACCGGGTGGGGCCCACACAGCAGGTGGGCGTGGACTAATTTTTTCAGTGCTTATGCTCTGCATAACGGGATAAACCCACTAAAGCGAAGGCCTTAAAGGGCTACGCTTATACTCATAGAATCTGGGGTTACAGTACGTAACCAACGTTTTCAGCTCCGCTGCAACTCTGTTTCTGCATTTTATGTATAGCTCCTTGATAGCAACTTAGCTAAAATGTGTGTGCGCGAGGGCATTCTGTACCACTTATTATTATTATTTATTAATTGTGTTTATCAAAGCTGTAAACCCAGGCTTGGTCACTATATTTTTCGCTATGAACTCCTTTATTGCTCGAGTTATTTCCACGTGCCGTTTCAAATTATCTTCATACGGAGTAATACCTTCAAACAGTTCAGAGTGATCCCTGTCAGCTGATACTTTGCTTACTTGAAGTTGAAGCACTGGTCATTCTACCCATGCAACTATCATAAATGGCTTTGTGGTGCTTTTATATGTTGATAAAGATTTGTGGTGTTACCTTTTAGAGGTAGCAACAGCAGCAAGGCAGGTTCTGCACAATACATGTCGTTGTGCAACGTATTCTTTTTTAATAGACAAAATAATTCCAAACAACGGACGTGCTGTTCCTCTTTGGTACCAAACTTTCAGGTCTTCTGTTGAGCTTGACGCCATTGTGCAACCGGTTAAAGCGCAGAGTTGACTTCTCTTCCTTGCTCTGCTCCGCTTCGCTCACTCGCAAGTCACATAACCAGATCATGCGACCAGTCAAATCGCAGCTTTTGCAATTAGAAAATCTTGTTTTATCATATTGCAATATTATCGTGAATGCAATTAATTTTTTCAGCCCTAGCGACTATAGTAATTAAAATGTCACAACTAATGGAACAAAGTCATTTCATGATGAATTTGCCAAATTATCCAAAGGTTTGTCTTTAAGCTTTGCATTTTACCCAAAAAGAAGTGAAGGGAGGTCCCTGCCTTAGAAATTATTCCACAGCACTGATGAGACCTGACATGCATCAATGAGTTATTATTAATCTTTATTTAGCCGGGCAAATCCCACTGAGATCACAGATCTCTGTTGTAAGGGAGGCCTGGACATATGCACATGTTTGTGTAACGCCCTCAATGAATATTTGTAGAATGCAACAAAAATTAATTACAAGTTGAACAGACTTGAACAGTAAATATGATTTAAGAAGGAAACGATCAACAGATTTTGAACATCAGTAGTTACAGTCACAGTGAAACGTCATGTTACTTCAGCACATTTTTATCACTTCCTGTAAAACCAGTAGTTAGAGAGGCAAAGCCCCACCCCCAAATTCCCGCTTTGTTTTGATTGGCCAGTCCCAGTAGTCTGATCAGGCTCCGCCCACATTTCCAATCAGCATGGCAAAATAATTTTAAAAAGCATTTAATTGAACAGAAAGACATTTGTTGCAGGGCAAGTCATTATTATTATTATTTTTTTGTTGTTGTCATTTTAAAGCTCACTTTTTATGTAAAGAGCACACACAATGTAAGACGTATCAGATAATAAAAAAAATAAACATCAAATTTATCATAAAAACGTTAAACGACTGTTTTCAGTCTTGCTTACAGCAAATTTTGTTATAAACTAAACATCTTTTAGGATTGCACCGTTTAACATCATTAAAGACAGAGGAGCTTCACACATCTTGTTTTATTGCTTCAGTGGTTGGTGGCTGGCCGCTCTGATTTATATTTTATATAAAGCAGTGCTTCACAAACCCTCCTTTTTATTTATTAACTTTTATTTAACCAGACTTATCCTAGTGAGATCACAGATCTCTTGCAAGGGAGGACTGGGCCTGACGGCTGCCTAACATGCACGTGTTGGGACATTGTTGATTGCATGTTGCAGAGAGACCATTGCTGTGCAGCTGCACTTGAGATGTTTCTAGAGACATGACGTGCACAGTGAGCATGCTTACACTGCAGGCTCCACCAATTTAGTTGTTGATTTTATTACAGAGTGAATGCATGTGCAAGCTGGACTGTTTAAAATGAAAACCTACTTGTACAAAACGAATAAATAAGCTGCAAGCTGCTTGCCCCTTGGCTCACTGCTTGCACTGCAGCTCATGCAGCAAAAGAAAATCTGTAAAATGTACTGGAAACATATTTTAAAGCACGGTTTGTATGTGCAATAACAGTAAAAGCTTGAAATTATATAACATAAATTATAATGCCTCTTTAAACTTTGTGTGTTCTTATGGACAACTTGTGCATGTGTTTTATTTTTTTTTCCACAACGAGAGAGATTGTGGAAATGAAACTTGCTCAACCAGTTTAGGTGTAACAGCGGGCTCTTTGAGTCTGAAGAGGTTTTTTTAACGGGAATTTTGTTTTCGAAACCAAATCAGTTCAAAGAACATGGAGCTCATCTTCATTTCCAGGGGCATTTCCTGGTCTGGAGGATTAGAAATGTGGGCCAAACTCTTGATTGATGCTAAAATGAGACAGCACCTCTTCTCCAAACAAGAGGTGTTGTGCATGTTGCAGAGGGACAATTTCATGTGCACAAAAAGTGCTGTGTAACTGCAGCTGCATCTGCAAGTTGTGCTGTCTTATGCAGATGTTCATTTTTTTTTTCAATCTGCAACGCCATTAAACAAAATCCATTCTGTGTTTAGCAGCGATGCTTGTGCTACTAGAACGTCTGACAGTCCAGTTAGCGTGTTGTTGTTTTGCGTATGTGCAGAAAAAAAACATCTGTTCTAATAGTAATTTCAGTTTGTCGTTTCAACAGAAGCACAACTTTATGCCTCGATAACAGGAGAGCTGGTGAAGAGTCTTGGTGTTGAGGTAAGCAGATGTTTCTCAGCAGGAGTTCTTATTAGATTTAGCAGATTTTCCTGGAAATGAATCCAATATTTCTAGCCCCAGAGCAGCTCTAAAGCAGAAAAGTTTGCAGAGGCCTTCCTGAAGAACAGCCTTAAGAAACCTGAACGCTACGACCTGAAGGACATGCTCACCCATAAGGCCATACACCTGGGCTACGCCAACCCTAAGAAAGAGACGACGAAGAGAAACAGCAAGAAAGCCAAAGGGTTAAATGCTCGACAGAAGAGAAAGATGAAGATTTTCCAGATCAAGCCTGAACACCAGAGGTAGATATCAGAACACTTTCTGTACTTTTTATTGGTGCTTTAAAAGTGACCGCTTTATAATATTCTGCTGCAAACTTTGTTTTCTATTTATTGTCTGAATGTTTATGAAGCATTCACACTATGGGGATCCATTTTTCTTCTGTATGTTTTTCAGCGTTTTTCTCGTTCCACAATTTTTGTGCTATTTCAACAATTCATATATCAAAACGTTCAGCTCTTTCAGGAGCAGGGTGCTATGACTTGGTCTTGGCCCAACTTGAGCTTTTTGAAATATTTAACATTTTCTGCCTTTTTTTTTTCTCAAAGAAAATGAATTTGAGCTCATTTTACATCCTTCAAATCTTTAGATCTGTTTACAACCTTTTACTGCTCTTTTCACATTTTGTTCTGTTTCATCTTCTTTCAGTTCCCTTGTTCACATTTAAACATTTTTCAGCTAATTTTAGCTGTTTTTTTCTGCTGTTTTGTGCTCCTTTCAGGTTTTTTTCTGCTAACTACTCAAATGTTTGTGCTTCTTCTAACTTATTTCTGCTAATTTCTGCTAGTTATGCTCCTTACAGCTTATTTCTGCAGGTTTCAGCATTTTCTGCTATTTCAGCTACTATTAGCTGTTTTTTATGGTAATTTTAACTTTTTGGCTAATTCTACATTTATTGCACTCATTTCAACTTTTTTCAGCCTAATTCATCAAAAATGTGCTCTCTTCACTTCCTTCTGGTAAATTAAGCATCTTTCTGCCTTTTTAGCTAATTTTCTGCTGTTTTTTGCTTATTTCAGCTTTTTTCAGATAATTGCCACTTTTTGTGCTCATTTCTGCTTCTTTCAGCAAATGTGCTCTTTCTGCTTTTTTCTGCTAACTTAGGCTTGTTCATTCATTTCATCATGTTTTAGCTAATTTCAGCTGTTTTTCAGCAAGTTCTTCAGCAGGAAAAAAAACCTTTTAATAAAAAAAACTAAAAGACTGTCTACAAAGATTTTACCAGCATGTGGCCATACCAACACGTGGAAACAACATGCTGCACTGTGTTTACACGAATGTAAAAGATGCATACAAAGCCGAACCCCACCCCCACCTAAGACACTGATCACACCTCCATCTTCCTGGCTCCTGCTTACCTCCCCCCGCTGAGACGCTCCAGACCGGTACAAAAGAAAGTTAAATGTTGGATGCAGAATAGTGGCTCCATACTGAAAGACTGTTTTGAATGCACAGACTGGAAGGTCTTCAGAGAAGTTGCTGAAAATGAGGGGGCACTAGACCTGGAGCAATACACATCCTCAGTCCTGAGGTATATTAGTAAATGTGCTGATGACATCACCACCATCAGATATGTTAAGAGTTACCCGAACAATAAGCCTTGGCTGAATGCAGAGGTTTGCACCCTGTTGGAAGCCAGGAACAATGCCTTCAGGTCTGGAAATTTTTGAGACGAGCTGGTCTGGGAAGCTCAGTCCTCACCTCCTTCTACAGGTGTTCAGTGGAGAGCATCCTGTGCTCCAGCATCAACGTGTGGCATGGAGGCTGCACAGCTGCAGAAAGAAAAGCTTTGCAGAGAGTGGTGAAGGCTGCACAGAAGTCTGTCGGAGTCAGTCTCCCCACCATCACAGACATCAACCATATTTTTCAGCCTACAAGTCGTGTTTTTTTGCATAATTTACATGCCCTGCGACATATAGATCGAAGCGACGTATTTATGGATTTTTTTCCATATTTATAAACCAATTTTTGGCTGAGATATGACCATTTTCATTCATTCTGACTGGAGGGGGGGGGGGGGGGGAGTAGTACCAGTTTCAGCCACGAAATGGCAGCAGAGTAATAGTAACAGTAAGGCATGCCGTTGTATCATGTAATAGGTAAACGTGGCTATAATGACAAATTCAAAAAGTTCAAGACAAAAACAACTGGACTTCATTTATTATACTTTATACTTTGTTTTTTTCTTGAACTTCTTTGAATTTACTATGTCCTGAATGACTGAGAATCTTCACCAGCTATTAATGACACAACTGGCTTGCTACAGTCCCTCCACCTTCATTTTGCTCGCTGCTTGGAGCAAATTAAACTAGCAACATGCAGCTAATTTGACCATTAAAGTGCATTTATGAAGCAAACGTTAGACTGAGACACACCTTTGCTATAATTTTGAGCAAAAAATAATTGTTTTACATGCTTTTCTTGTTAAATTTTGCAGAAACGAGCAGCGTTCCTCCTCCTTTTTTTCCTCCCTGTCTGTGCGCTCCCGGAGCACCGAGGCAGCGAATACTTTTGAAATACAGCTGATTTGACCGTTAAAGTCCTTTTATTAAGCAAACGTTAGACTGAGACACGCCTTTACTATAAAGTTAAGCAAACAAACAACTGTTTTTAGGTGTTTATCTTGTTAAATTTCGAAGAAATGCAGAGAAATGCAGAGAAATGCATCCCTCTGCGTGTGCACATTTCGCAGCAGCTAAACTATTTTTGAAATTCAGCTGATTTGACCATTAAAGTGCTTTTTTTTTAATAAATAGTTTAACTGAGACACACTTTTGCTATAATTTCGAGCAAACAATTGTTTTTAGGTGTTTATCTTGTTAAATTTGCACAGCGACTTGTCACGTGCACGCGTGTACTGCGTATCGGCTTTTGAAACACAGCTGATTTGAAGGTCAAAGTGCATTTATTAAGCAAACGTTAGACTGAGACACACATTTACTATAATTTTGTGCAAACAAATAAATGTTTTTAAGTGTTAATCTTGTTAAATTCTTGTTAAAGTCCTCACGTGCACGCTCCCACGGCCTCCATTTGTCAGCCCATCGATTTTTGGCACAACACCGGTCCACATTTCCGGATTCGGTCCACATTTCCAGGTTGCCAGCGTTGATGTGAAACAAACACGACGCATCAGCGGTGAAACATAATAGATGCGACTTATACTGCGAAGTGACATATTTATGGATTTTTCCACTTTATTAGACAAATATGGACTGATGCAAATTATATGGTGGAGCGACGTGTCCGCTGGAAAATACAGCACACCTCCAGATGCAGGAAGAGGGCCACCTGCATCATGAAGGACCCCACTCATCCAGCACACACACTTTTTGCCCCGCTCCACTAAGGAAGGAGGTTAAGGAGCATTCAGTGTAGAACCACTAGACTGAGGAACAGCTTCTACCCTGAAGCTGTTAGACTCATGAATCTCTACCCAGGATGATCAAAATCACATCATGTTGCTGCTGATCTGTTTCATGTTGCTGCTGATCTGTTTCATGTTGCTGTGTTCATGCGTGCTCATCTGCTCACACAGACTCATGCTCGTGCTGATGTTCGACGTAATGTTTTTATTTAATTAGTGCTTAGAGTATATTTATTAATGTTTTTCTTAGTTCATATCTTAGATCTTATTACTGTTTTTCTTTTACATTTTATTGTTGGATGTAACTGGGACCCTGTGTACATAATTTTGTTCCACCACATGTACCACATGTGGTGTGAATGACAAATAAAGAAACTCTGACTCTGACTAAATAGTCACACTGCATTTTCGCAGGAAATGCAGTGTCTCTAGTTATTAACAGTTCTTTGTTCTCCATATCCCATATTGTCAATACAGATACGAGCTTTTTCTGCCTTTACATAAACTCTGGAGACAATACATAGTTGACCTGTGTGGGGGATTAAAACCATCAAGGTACAATCAATTTAACTTTTGCATCCTTCATTATTATTTTTGCTTTTTCCAACATATTTACAGATCCAGCTGCAATTCTTCCTTTTTGACTTTAGTCTCGTTTTTTCCAGCAATCTACAGTTTGTGCAGCAGAAGCTTCTGAAGGCAGACTTCCATGGCGCCATCATTACAGGTAGATTTTCTTCTTGTGTTGAAGCCTCAGCGATCACAAACAACTCTGTTCAGTACTTAAAGGTGTGATGATGTGAAAAAGTTTTAAGCTGGTGCAAACATGCAGATCCTGTGCTAAACTCGAGTAACAAAGTTTTAGTGACCCATCTAACAAGGTTGAGTCAGGTCCTCTGGACAGATGGTCCTCCCTTTGCATGTGAACAATTAGTTTTGGCTGTCAGCAGCAAACTGGTTGATCCACTATGAGAAGGTTCTGCTTATAAGACCGAGTTTGGTGCAGCTCCTCAGACTGAAGAAGTCTTCTGGATAAAAGATGAAATGTTTCAACAAAGAATCCATCCATTGGACCTGACTCAACCTTAGATTCATCTCCGTGGATTAATTAGTGACTCTTCCATGTCGTTACCATGTGTCTAGAATTGTCAATCACTGAAATCAATTGTAGGTCATTTAAAACAAAAAATTGATTTAACAATCAAACAACAAATAATCGTTTAAACAAAGCGTTACAGAATCAACATGCCATGTTTAAGAAAGACCCTCTTTGGCATTTTTGGGGATATTTTGATACATGAAACTTTGTATTTTTGAAGTGTTGCTCAAATTGGGCCACAAAAGGAAACTAGAGCTACTGAGGGCAGCTGCTTGGTTTAGCATAAAAAAGTTTGCTGCATTTTATTTGACAGATTTTTTCCCCTTTTCATGCAATTAAAAAACTTCAGTTATTGAGTGTATTTAATTTAACACACACTGTTGCATGTTTTTTACGCAATAAACTTAAATCCAACATTTATGAGTTAGAGCAGATTTTAAATTTCAACATATAAATTGTACATTGTGATTGTTTTAAAATATTTAGACATTAGTAATAAATCATATTGCCCAGTTTTAATTTGATCTGGAAGCTTTAGTCAGTTAAAGCTCTGTATGAAGAGAACATTGTGTTACTTGTGTTAGCCAAACCTTTTGTCTGATGTTCTGAACTCACCCCGCCTCGGATCCTATCCCTGCAGGAAAGTTGCAGCTGCCTGAATCTGCAGCTGTTAGATGTTTTTGTGATGCAAGTTTAGTGGTTGTGTTGCATGTTTGTGTTGCTTGAAGGAAATTATCAGTAAACGTGAGCAAATCTGTAAAATGCACTGACTTTGTTTTTATCGTCGCAGTGGTGCGGTCTAAATGTCCGTCGTACGTAGGTACTGCAGGGATCCTCGTCCAGGAGTTTAAACACGTCTTCAAAATCATCACCGAGGAGAATAAGCTCAAAGGTTTGTTCCAATTCAATGCTGAAACAGAACAGAACACAATTATACTTGTAATAACAAAAGACCAACTGGAACAGATAAGAGTGAACTGAATGCAGGTGAACTGGTTTAACGTTGCTGATATGTGCCTCTTAACTCTTGACAGCTGTTAAAGCTCAGCCATTTGTCCTCCAACCACAGGTCATCTCATGTTCAAAATTATTATCCTGTGTCTTTTATCCAAAAAACTTCAAGTCAACCTGCTGCTTTTATGCCTCTGAGCCTTCAAGGGACGTGGTCCTAGAGCCGAAAAGGTTGATACAGTAGTCCCTTCGCGGTTCGTTTATCGCAGTTTTTCAAAATAAGATTGGACATGACACACAGTTTGCTGATTGATGGATGAGCTGCATGATTGGTATGAAATTTTTTATTTTAAATAAATTATTTTAAATGATTTAGCATCTGCTACACATTTGTGCAGCCCACACTGCAGGATAAACGTCCTCATGCAGCTGATCAGCTCATCTCCGTTCAGAGCGAAGTGGGCGTGGCCAAAAACGCTTGCAGGTGGCTGAGAGCAGCGGAGGCAGAGAGCTGAAATCATGATATTCTGTGCTCTTTTAGAGCGTTTAGAGTTTAGAAACATTGTTTAGAATATTGCAAGAGTGTGGGCAGGGTTTAAAACACCTTTATATATATATATATATATATATGTGTATATATATATATATATATGTGTATATATATATATATATATGTGTATATAAT